CCTCCTCCTCCTCCTCCTCCTCCTCCTCCCCCTCCTCCTCCTCCTCCTCCTCCTCTCCCTTCTCGTCCCTCCTCCTCCTCCTCCTCCTCCTCCTTCCCCTCCCCCTCCTCCTCGACCCATTCTCCTTCTCAGATTCGCACCATGTGCGGAATCCAGGTTGATATCTGTGGGAACTGTGTGCTGTGCGACGTGTGTGCTGGTGGAGGTATGTGGCAGAAAGGACATTGTTTGTGAGAGAGAGAGAGAGAGAGAGAAACAACAAAAAACATAAAAATATAGGGAGGGACAAAAGTGCAGTCTCCGGTTCCATGTTGGCTCGAATCCCGGTCCAGGGCCCTTGAGACACAGCGCGCGCGAGCGCTGTAGAAGACATGCTCGATATGACTCGTACCCGTCAAAGACTTCGCGTGTTTTGACAAGTTCATAATGATAGCGGAGCCTGGCTCGTCGCTCCTCAATATTCTCCAAATATCGGCGATGACGATCAGATCGCGGGATACAGCAATCACAACGTCGGTTACTACACGGAGTCGACCACCAGCTAGGTCAGCAGCAACACTTTCTCGGACGACAGCCAATCCGACGCCATACGTGGCGATCTTTCCGACGGCCTACGCGACGCAGCCACGGTCTTCAACATGGCGTCAATATGCAGAGCACACTTCCAGAGCGTGGAACTCCACTGTGCAACCGGCAGCTCAACACATAGAAGGAGTACAAAGAAGCGCGCAGACGAACTTTCGTGGCGAAGCTCGCACTGGAGCATAATGAAACTGATGTCATGTTAGTAGCTTATCTCACCAGTGAAGCGCGGGACGAGATCGAGGATCTCTCGGCGGGCGCCCTGGTCAAGGCATGAGCGGCAGAGGGTATACTGAACTGGCTGCGCTGACGTTCCAAGGTGAGCACCAGGACGGAACTGCCGGAAGATTTCGAGTCCTTCCACTGGCTGACGAGGCTGAAGGGCGCGGCTCTCGTCCAATGCGTTTCCTGAGTTCGTGCGGTAGAGAGGAAGCTCAATGCACACGGCACCGAGTTACCACTGAACGTTAGAGGTAGGCTGATACTGCGACGGAGCGGATGCTCATCGGATCAACGAGCAGTTGTTATGTTTATCATGGGCAAGGATATCGCACAGGACACAGTGCAGTCGAGGCCGTATAGGTAGCGCTTGGTCAGGAGAGCACGACACACGATCCTAATCATATGCGGAAGCAGTGCTACGTCGACGACGACATCCATAGCGACTGGCGCAAGCATGCACCATGGTTTCCAAGGGTAACCTAATCATCCCAAATCATTGCGTCGTCGCCCTGAGAATATCTGCAATGCGAAAGCCAAACATTCACGCGCCCGCAAAAATACCCTTAAGCCAGAGAAACCGGAAACGCACCATGCATGGCCACAACTGAAAGATGCAATGTGCCTTTAGGAAACAGCCCATCCTGAACGCCGATTTTCCCTGCGCTCTAGGCCGCAGACACCCACTACGGTCAGGACTACGCCGAAACGGAATTCGAGCACGGACACGCACAACCAGGAGCACGGGGCGGAGGGCGACGAGACCTGTCACGACTGTGAGAAGACCCACTGCCAGTGCGACAGTGCCACCCTGTGCTTCGGTCCCGACGAACTCGACGAGGTCTGCGCGGCATGCTACGACGCGAGGAGGCGGTGCAACGGTCTACGACTGGGGAGAGGATTCTGCCAGGTCGTGGCCGTGGTCGACTCCAGCGGCAACGCATGTGCACCAGTAGGTCAGGGGAGCACGACTGCATTCCGAGGGAGCAAAGGCGCGTGGGCCTGGCAAGTCCAAGGGGGTTCGTCGTCATCATCATCATCAGCATCATCAGGATCATCAGCATCACCGTCACCATCACAATCACCATCATCATCACCGTCAAAAATCAACACAACAATCGCCATCGTCATCGCCATGGTCACCATCATCACCATCATCACCACCACCACCAACACCACCATCATCATCACCATCGTTAGCATCATCATCATCATCATAATCACCATCATCATCGTCACAATCAACATCACCATCACCATCGCAATCACAATCACCATCACCATCACCATCGTCATCGTCATCGTCATCGTCATCGTCATCGCCAACGTCATCGTCATCGTCATCATCATCACCATCATCATCATCATCATCACCAAAACAATCATCACCAGCATCACCATCACGGTCACCATCACCATCACAATCACCATCACAATCACCATCACCACTATCATCACCATCACCATCATCATCACCATCATGATCACCACAACCATCATCATCACGACCATCAGCGTCATCGTCATCAGCAGCATCAACATCAGCCTCATCCTCATCTCCATCCTGCTTCTGCTCCTCCTCCTCATCATCATCATCACCATCACCATCGTCATCACCATCGTCATCGTCATCACCATCATCATCATCATCATCACTATCACCATCAGCATCAGTAATCATCGCCATCACCATCAACATCACCATCATCATCACAACCTCCATCAATAATCAACATCACAATCGCCAACGCCATCGCCATCGTCATCATCATCACCACCATCACCACCACCACCACCAAAACCACCACCACCACCACCACCACCATCATCATCATCATCATCATCATCATCATCATCATCATCATCATCATCCGCATCACCATCAGCATCACCATCATCACCGTCACCATCACCATCACCATCGCTACCACAAACACCATCATCATCACCATCACCTTGACCATCGTCATCGTCGTCGTCATCGCCAACGTCATCGTCATCGTCATCGTCATCATCACCATCGGCATCACCATCACCATCACCATCATCATCACCATCACCATCGCCATCACTATCATTACCACCGCCACCATCACCATATCATCATCATCACCATCACCATCACCATCACAGTCATCATCATCATCATCATCATCATCATCATCATCATCATCATCACCATCACCATCACCATCACCATCACCATCACTATCATCATCATCACGACCATCAGCATCATCGTCATCAGCAACAACACCACCATCATCCTCATCCTCATCCCCATCCTCCTTCTCCTCCTCCTCCTTTTCGTCATCATCAGCACCATCACCATCACCATCACCATCACCATCACCATCATCATCATCATCAACACCATCACATCATCATCACATCATCATCATCATCATCATCATCATCATCATCATCATCATCATCATCATCATCATCATCATCATCATCATCATCATCATCATCATCATCATCATCATCATCATCATCATCATCATCATCATCATCATCATCATCATCATCATCATCATCATCATCATCATCATCATCATCATCAACACCATCATCAGCAACATCATTCATCTCGCCGGTTTCCTCCCCCATCCGCCCTCCTCCCATCCTGCCATCCGTGCCTCTGCCCTCTACATGTCTCTGTTTCTCGGCACACCCCTCACACGTTCCGTGACCCCTATAAGGAGCTCCACTGAGGGCCTCAGTGGCTGCGCTCGCGTGGCACCACGGCATCTCGGCACACCCGTTACACGCTTCGCGGCATCATAAGGAGCTCAACCGAGGGCCCCCATGGCTGCGCTCGTATGGTACCACCGCACCCACTTCGGCACACCCCTCACATGTTCGTGGTCCAATAGCGAACTCCACCGAAAGCGCAAACGGCAGCGCTCGCGTGGCACCACCGCACCCACTTCGGCACACCCCTCACACGCTTCGTGACCTCATAGGGAGCTCCACCTACGGCTCCAATGGCTGCGCTCGCATGGCACCACCGCGCCCATTTCGGCACACCCCTGGCACACTTCGTGGCCCCATGAGGAACTTCGCCGAAGGCCCCAGTAATTAGGTGCACTCGCATGGTACCACCGCACCCTTTCCTTCACACCGCTCACACGTTTCATGGAGCCATGAGGAGCTCCGCCGAAGGTCCCAATGGCTGCGCTCGTATGCCACCACGGCGCCCATTTCGGACAGACCCATCTCAAGTTTCGTGCCCCCTGTAAGGAGCTCCACGTAAGGCTCCAGTGGCAGCGCCCGCATGGCACCACCGAGCCCGTTTCGGCACACTCCTCACACGCTTCGTGGCCCCACAGGGTGCTCCACCGAACGCCCAAATGGCTGCGCTCGCGTGGCGCCACCGCAACAATTTCGGCAAACCCCTCACACGTTTCGTGCCCCCCGATGGGGGTTTTCCACCTAAGGCTCCAATGGCAGCGCCCGCATGGCACCACTGCACCCAATTCGGCACACCCCTCACGCGTTTCGTGCCGCTGTGAGGAGCTCCACCGAAGGCCGCAGTGTCAGCGCCCGCATGGCACCACCGCGCCCAATTCGGAACACCCCTTAGAGGTTTCGTGGCCCCATTGGGAGCTCCACCGAATGCCCCAGTGGCCTTGCCTGCATGCAGCCCCCAAACCATTTTTGCACTACCCTCGCACGTTTCGTGCTGCTGGAGGGCATCCCGAGGCGAGAAGACACCCGAAAACCCACGGGAACTTCTAAAAACTGTGTCCCCCCTCGTGGCCCCCCCAAGCGGTGCGGTGAGCACACAGTGTGGTGAGTCAGTGGGCATGCGGGGTGACTGCGCGGTTTGGGGCGGCTCGGGCCGTCTCTCCGAAGCTGTCTCGGCCGACCGACGCCCCCAGTGTCCCACAACCGTGAGGCAACGGACCGTGCGACGAGGCCTGTGGGGGCTTCGAGGTTACCGCGCGGTGCGTCACCGCACCGAGCCGCGGGCGCACGCCTCACCTCCTCCTCCTCCTTCGCCTCCTCCTCCTCCGCCTCCTCCTCCTCCGCCTCCTCCTCCTCCTCCGCCTCCTCCTCCTCCTCCGCCTCCTCCTCCTCTTCCTCGACGACGCGTTCCCCCAACAAAACTGAACCTCTCCTTCTCCCTGTCTTGTCTGTCACCATACCGTCCTAGGACCCCCAATAATACTCACAACAACCGCGGGTGGCGCCTCCGGAACCCCGGGAGCAGCCCGGACACGGTCTCCTGGCCTTCCGGGATGTGCGGAAGCTGCGACGGCGCCACGCCCCACGCGGAAACTGGGGCGACGC